AAGTATGGTTTCTTGCTGATCCAATAAATAGTTATGGATATCTCAAATGCATCCTCTGTTTTTACTCAAAAAGCTTAAACTACGCTGAAAGCTTTTTAAGGACACTCAAACGTGTTTTTGTGAATCAATATTATTGATTAGGGTCTATTTATGTTTACTACATAAATAAAGTCCACTGAGACAAATGTAACATTTGTGATATTGGGCTATATAAATAAACATTGATTGATTGACTACAGTGTTGAGGCAGCATCATGTTGTGAGCTGTGTGGACTTGAGACTAAAAGCTGAACGCATTTGGTGCCTTTAGAAAAATTCCAAATGTAAAAGTTGGTAAGAAGCTCATCAGCCTGGAGAGCATGGAATCTGAAGGCCACATTTTCCAGCAAAAAGACAAATATTTACCGATAAGACGGAGCAGATCGGTCGCTGCCTGAAGATTTATTTTTTTCTGTCTTCACTTTGTCATCCAGCTGCGCCACCGTAAAAACCTCGATGCATCAGAATCTTAGAAAATAGAATATTTCCACAATGATTAACTGCGACAGTTCATAAAGTCTTTCTGAGATGCAAGCAGAGACACTTTTATGTGAGCGTTTCTCACGGAGAAAGATGGAGCTGTCATCGTGAGACTGCGAAACACTTTCATTTGTCATTAATTGATATCGAGAGACAGCTTGGCAATTAACAAACTGTTGTATAAGCGTCTTCAGTTAGAGTTTTCTGATTTTGTCGCAGCACTTTTGCAGAAAAAAGGGGTCTAAATAGTACAGCACATTGAGTCTGAGAATACAGATTGATTGACAGTATAAGAGAAGCAAAGTAATGTGGCTGCGGAGAGTAAAGCTTTCAAATCCACAGGCCATTCTACAGTAGCGTCACAGCGTGACCCCTGAAGCTTGATTTTCCAAAGCGAATGGACCAGATATAATGGGGATGTAATGTATGTTCCAGGAATCTGTGAAATTGCTTGTATTATAAGAGAGCAATGGGGAGGTAATCATTTCCCTTAAGAGGTTCAACTGCTTCCTAACCTTTCTTTTCACACCCCTGTATCTCTGGGAAACATGATGATGATTCTGCACCAAACGATTTAACCTTAGTGCCAATGCGGAACATACAACTTGACATTCGTGTGTGTGGAAATGTGGAACGTAAGCTTGTGTGCTCATGTATTCAACACCACAGATATTACACATTGAAGTCTGTTTACTACTGCAGTACTGCTACATATTGAGGGCCTTACACTGTCACCTGTCACTATAGTTTAGTTAACGACTTAATGTACAATATATGGAAATCACTTTGATAATTTTTACGTTACAGACTTAATGTACGATGAATGGACATGATACCAATCTTCATCGGTGGCCAAGTTATTGTAAGATATATGGAAATTATCTTAATCGTTAATCAACTTATCTTACAATCAAAAGGACATTTTTGCTAACCTTTATATTGCCAGGTTTGTTCGTTTATACCAACATTTGCGCGTACATGGTTAAAGAATAAAGCAACAGGCTTTTCCCAACAACACTAAGAATGAACCATCGTGCAGACAAGAAGACGAGGGTAGTTAGTATATTGTGCTATTTTATAAATGAAATTGAAGTGTCTGATGTTTGCCAACAAGCGGATGAAAGTGTGTTGTGTTTTGGAAACCTCTCTCCGGGTCAGGGTGCCGTTACGGGTGAATGAGAGGATGCCAAACACAGAGCCCTGGGGTGCTCTCGTGTCAGGAGTCGCATTTAGTCTTTCTGCTTTTTCTAAATCTGTTTGTGAGGGAGTATAATATCGAGCAGTGACCTCGCCGACATACTTTGAGGCAGAGAGATGTGGTGAATACTGATCTGGAATCATCAAACAGGGTCCGGATGCAGGTTGTGTTATTGTGGGATGGCAGCCTCTGTGGTCTGTTGGCGGGAGGTTTAACTGTGGGGGGGCCAACCTGCTGGCATGTGCTGTTTGATGTGCAACCAGTTTCTCAAAGCAATGCATAACAACCGTGTGTGTGTGTGTGTGTGTGTGTGTGTGTGTGTGTGTGTGTGTGTGTGTGTGTGTGTGTGTGTGTGTGTGTGTGTGTGTGTGTGTGTGTGTG